AGCAGGGGTAGGATATAGTGTTGGAGTGGTTGGTATTTTTGTTTAATAAATGTATGAGAGAGGGGAAGGTACCTAGGGACTGGCAGAGTGTATGTATAGTTCCTTCATATAAAGGGAAGGGGGACAAAAGAGACTGTAAAAATTACAGGGGAATAAGTGTATTCAATATACCAAGTAAAGTGTATGATAGGGTTATTATTGAAAGAATTAGAGGTAAGACAGAGTAGGATTGCAGATGAGCAAGGAGGCTTTAGAGTGGGTAGGAGATGTGTGGATCAAGTGTTTACATTGAAGCATATATGTGAACAGTATTTAGATAAAGGTAGGGAAGTTTTCATTGCATTTATGGATTTAGAAAAGGCATATGATAGGGTGGATAGGGAAGCAATGTGGCAGATGTTGCAGGTAAATGGAATAGGTAGTAAGTTACTAAATGTTGTAAAGAGTATTTAGTAGGATAGTGTAGAAAGTTGAAAGTGAACATAGATAAGAGTAAGGTAATGAGGGTATCAAATGATTTAGATAAAGAAAAATTGGATATCACATTGGAGAGAGGGAGTATGGAAGAAGTGAACATTTTCAAATATTTGGGAGTTGACTTGTCAGCAGATGGGTTTATGACGGATGAGGTTAACCATAGAATTGATGAAGGAAAAAATGTGAGTGGTGGGCTGAGATGTCTGTGGAGACAGAAAACGTTATCTATGGAGGCAAAGAAGGGAATGTACGAAAGTACAATGGTACCATCACTCTTATATGGGTGTGAAGCTTGGGTTGCAAATGCTGCAGCGAGTAGGCGGTTGGAGGCAGTGGAGATGTCCTGTCTAACTGCAATGTGTGGCATAAATATTATGCAGAGAATTCAGTGTGTGGAAATTAGGAGGTGTGGAGTTACTAAAAGTATTAGTCAGAGGGCTGAAGACGGGTTGTTGAAGTGGTATGGTCATTTAGAGAGGATAGAACAAAGTTTAATAACTTGGAGAGCGTATAAATTTATAGTGTAAGGAAGGCAGGGTAGGGGTTGTCCTAGGAAAGGTTGGAGGGAGGGGGTGAAGGTTTTGTGGGCAAGGGGCTTGGACTTCCAGCAAGCATATGTGAGTGTACTTGATAGGAGTGAATGGAGACGAATGGTTTTTGGAACCTGACGAGCTGTTGGAGTGTGAGCAGGGTAATATTTTGTGAAGGGATTCAGGGAAACCAGTTATTTTTATATAGCTGGACTTGAGTACTGGAAAGGGGAAGTACAATGCCTGCACTTTAAAGGAGGGGTTTGGGATATTGGCAGTTTGGAGGGATATGTTATATATCTTTATGTGTATGCTTCTAAACTGTTGTATCTGGCCACCTCTACAAAAACAGTGATTATGTATGAGTGAGGTGAAAGTGTTGAATGATGATGAAAGTATTTTCTTTTTGGGGATTTTCTTTATTTTTGTGTCACCCTGCCTCGGTGGGAGATGGCCGACTTGTTGAAAAAAAAAATCAGGGAAACCGGTTAGCCGGACTTGAGTCCTAGAAATGGGAAGTACAATGCCTGCACTTTAAAGGAGGGGTCTGGGATATTGGCAGTTTCGAGGTTGACTTTTAAACTGTCGTATCAGAGTGCCTCTGCAAAGAGTGATTATGTATGAGTGAGGTGAAAGTGTTGAATGATGATGATGAAAGTATTTTATGGGGGGAATTTTCTTTCTTTTTGGGTCACCCTGCCTCAATGGGAGACAAGTGACATGTTAAAAAAAAAAAAAAAAAAATAAGTGGCCAGGAATGCATCTACATCATAAAACACTGGACACCTCTATTATTATTTACACATTAGACACCCCTTGATTTTATAAGTTGTTAACTACTGATAATAATATGTACTTCTTATTCTCTTCTTCTACTTAACCAGCTGAAAACTACATCATAATCTGATTGGCCACCCTCAAAACTAAGAACATTATTATTTTTTACAACATTAAATAATTTCTAATGTGAAACACTGTATCACTGTTACACCTGGATTCATAAAATAATCTTCCCAATGGAGAACATCAATTTAACCCTTAAACTGTCCAAATGTTGATCTACGTTTTCACTGCCAGCGCTCCAAATACAGTGGACCCCCGCATAACGATTACCTCCGAATGCGACCAATTATGTAAGTGTATTTATGTAAGTGCGTTTGTAACTGTATGTTTGGGGGTCTGAAATGGACTAATCTACTTCACAATATTCCTTATGGGAACAAATTCGGTCAGTACTGGCACCTGAACATACTTCTGGAGTGAAAAAATATCGTTAACCGGGGGTCCACTGTATTTTGAAAAATACAAAAATCATTTTTTTTTTAATTAAAGATGGCAATTTTCTGTGTGTTATATAACAAAAAAAAGAAAATTAGGACTAGTACTTACCGAGATATAAGATGGCAAAGTTGGTGCTGGATGCTCACCTGACAGCAACTTGGAGTCCTACCGCTTGCAGAAGTGTTGTTGATATATCTGTTTTTCTTGTTTTTATTTTAATTTATATAATTTTTATGTTCTGATAATTACAATTTATAATAGTTCTTGTGATTTCATAGCCAATCTTTGTTCTGACACTAATATTAGGTACTGAAATAGTACTCAAATAGTCACAATCAGACCAGTAGGTGTACATTTTTACCGGCCTTGGTCATTTACTATTGTCTACAAATATATACAAAGTATTTATAGGTCTCAGAAATGTTTTAGACATGCTGGAGTATATATGAATCTTCTTGAAGCATGGTGTTTATGACAAGTGTCGCTAAACTGCTGACAGGGTAAGGAGTGAGACAATGATAGTGCCCTGCTGCAGGGAACCCAGGCTTTATTTGTTTACACTGTTACACCAAACGTATGTCAGTTTGTCTATCTGTTTGTCTGTGTCTATCTATGCTTATCTTTCTGTCTGCTTGTTTCTCTCTCTTTCAGTCTGCCTGTGTGTGTCTGTCTTTCTGTCTGTGTGTGTGATTGTCCGTCTTTCTGTCTGTGTGTGTGATTGTCCGTCTTTCTGTCTGCCTGTGTGTGTGTGTCTTTCTGTCTGCCTGTGTATCTCGGTCTTTCGTCTGCTTATTTTTCTCGGTCTTTCCCGTCTGCCTGTGTGTCCCGGTCTTTCTGTCTACCCGTGTGTGTCGGTCTTTCTGTCTGCTTGTGTGTTTCGGTCTTTTGTCTACGTACGTGTGTGTGTGTGTGTGTGTGTGTGTGTGTGTGTGTGTGTGTGTGTGTGTGTGTGTGTGTGTGTGCGTGTGCGCGCGCATGCGTGTGTGTGTGTGTCGTTCTGTCTGCCTGTGTGTCTTGGTCTTTCTATCTGAATGTGTGTGTGTGTTTCTGTCTGCTTCTCTCTCAGTCTTAGAGAGCGGCTCATAAACCAACAGGTATTACACAGGATGCAGTAGTCACGTCTGATTCCTGATGAAGTGAAAATGCGTATTACTTGCCACTGAGTTACCAGTCATGGATATTATGTCTCCTATCTACAAGCACTGTATAGCACTTTGCCTGGAATTTTTGGGTTATCCTAGGTAATTTACACTATGTATAATAACTGTACTTATGTGTACATGTGACAGAGATATAGACAGATATACAGACAGAGATAGACAGCCAGTGGTATCAAAAATAAAAGGATGTTACACAGATGTTATACATGGGTTATTATAGAGGTTTATCATATTTCCTCTATCACTTGTTGCCACATCCATAACTTTCCTCTTACAAGAGGAGTGTTAATATGACATGACATCAGTGAATCCTTGGTGTTTGCTATGCTATTTGCTCTATATAGTGCTCAACTTTACTGGTGCTCCCACAAGGTACTAAGTGGTCCAGGATTTTTTTTAATACTGCACACACTGAGTGTTAACACCCATTCTATACTTGCCAGGCATCTCAGCCTAATTATGCCAAATTTGGAGGCAGGAAAAATAAAATGTAGATCTATGTTTGGAGCGCTAGCGGTGCAAACGTACATCTACGTTTGGAGAGTTTAAGGGTTAATAACAGCTCAAGATGGGCAGACTCAAGACTGGCTGGCAACACTTACAACAGCACTCAACTGCCACACATCATTACTAGTTCAATACCTAATTTGAATTTATGCCCCTAATTGGATACCCATTCGCATAGCAGGAATGCTGAAAAGATCTATGGCGTGTTTACTCAAATTTTATGCTCCTTTAATGCAAATGTAATATGATCTTCCTTCAGAAACCCACAGACAATTGAATCTACTTTTAGACTGCCCATCAGAACCCAGAAGACTTAGGGATCCTAGTGAACAATGAGCTCTCATGATACTATTTTTTTTTACTTTATTTGTATTTTTTTGTCTAGGGATTTTTCCAGTGCGATTTTTCCTTAGTTTTATAAATGTAATGGCTAATGGCTTCATTGATCAAGACTTCTCATTTTTGACTCTACTGTATAACAAAAAATGGTGTACTAGTTTCATCTTCAATAATGTGCTAGATATGTACATACTCTCCATGGGAAAGTGGAACAGAATTCTTCCTCCATAAGCCATGAGTGTCATACGAGGCGACAAACACGATGGGAGCAAGGGGCTAGTAACCTCTTCTCCTGTATACATTACTAAAGTTAAAAAGAGAAACTTTTGTTTTTCTTTTTGGGTCACCCTGCTTCTGTGGGATGCAGCTGGTTTGTTGACAGAAGAACAATGTACATACTGTACGCATATGCATATTTTACACATTTATCCTAGAAATAAATTTAAATCTTTAGGTCCAACATCACAAATGTCAATGGACAAGTACTGCATGTAGTTCAACATGCATTGTAGATAAACCTCTTTTTTTTTTAACCTTTTAACTGAAAGAGGATATGACAGGTCTATCTTACTGCTTGATCTCGCTAAGGCATTTAAGAAAAACCTAAGATTTATTCTTAAATGTTAGAGAATTACATATCTTGTCAGTCTTAAAGATCAACAGCTATATCAATGACATAAATTCAGAAGTTAAACAAAGTACTTACTTTTTAGGAAACATTGGGATGAAGATATCATTATCTATTGCATCTCTAATCTTAGCGATGATGGCATGAGTGAGATCCTTCAAGGGCTTGGAACTTGGCCCTAAACTAGGGTAGGCCTCAGCATAATGTCTTACCATATTGACTAGTCTCACTGTCTGTACATGAGACAAAGGATCCCACCAACATCCAATGATTTCTGGAAAGAAAAAGCAGCTGACCTTACTCTGAATATGTAGATAAAACAGAGAATAATATATCTTTACTGTAATCACTTAGATCCAACAATTTAAGGAGAAACAAAACACAATAATGAGGAAAGGGCTGGACAGGCAGTACCCACTTTATGAAAGCTTAATTAACCAAAGTTCACTTTAACCCTTAAACTGTCCAAACAGATTTATGTTCACATTCGTAGTGCTCCAAAAGTAGATCTTCGTTTTTTATTTTACATATTTTAAAAAAAAAAAAAAAGTATATCAAAGTTTTTTTTTACACATTTTCAAATGTAAAAAAAAAAAAAAAAAAAGATCTACGTTTTTTTACATACTTTCAAATGTTGAAAAAACGTAGATCTACGTTTGGACAGTTTAAGGGTTAAGGTCACACACACATCAGGAGACAAATTTGTACTGCAAATGAGTGCTGGGCAAAGTAAATAAGTTGTATTAAAGTGTTCGCTAAATTGAAGGTGGCATGTGACTCTCAGGCTCAACTTGAAGACCTGCTTCCTAGCATTTATTCTAAGTGAAGAGGCATACTGTTAACAGAGTCCCATTCATTTTTTTTAACACACTGGCCCCACTCCCACCAAGGCAGGGTGACTTGAAAAAGAGATAAGAGATAAGATTTTGAAGAACTGGGACACTTAATCAATATATGGGAATCTTTACTGAAGAAACGTTTCGCCACACAGTGGCTTCATCAGTCTTATACAAAGTAGGAAGGTAAAAGGAGAGGAGGAGTTTGAAGTAATCAGTCCCTCAGCCTGTAGTTGATGTGTTCAGTCCAACAATCTTGTAGAAAGTACAGCACAGGGCCATAGCAGTAGCTTATATACTGTAGTCAGGTAAGGCGAAACAGGAGGAGATGACGTCATAGTAATCATCCACTGGTCTAAGTAGGTCTTCGTCCAAAGACTGGACAAGTTATACCAAGCTCGGTCATAAGCTGGATGGTACCTGTATTCAGTTCCTGATTTTTTTTTTTTTAACAAGTCAGCCGTCTCCCACCGAGGCAGGGTGACCCAAAAAGAAAGAAAATCCCCAAAAAGAAAATGCTTTCATCATCATTCAACTCTTTCACATCACTCACACATAATCAATGGTGCAGAGGTGCTCAGAACACAACAGCTTAGAAGCATATACAGTACATATAAAGATAAACAACATATCCCTCCAAACTGTCAATATCCCGAACCCCTCCTTTAGAGTGCAGGCATTGTACTTCCCGTTTCCAGGACTCAAGTCTGGCTATATAAAAATAACCGGTTTCCCTGAATCCCTTCACTAACTATTACCCTGCTCACACTCCAACAGATCGTCAGGTCCCAAATACCATTCATCTCCATTCACTCCTATCGAACACGCTCACGCATGCCTGCTGCAAGTCCAAGCCCCTTGCCCACAAAACCTCCCTTACCCCTTCCTTCCAACCTTTCCGAGGATGACCCCTACCCCGCCTTCCTTCTCCTACAGATTTAAATGCTCTCCATGTCATTCTACTTTGATCCATTCTCTCTAAATGACCAAACCACCTCAACAACCCCTCTTCAGCCCTCTGACTAATACTTTTATTAACTCCACACCTTCTAATTTCCACACTCCGAATTTTCTGCATAATATTTACATCACACATTGCCCTTAGACAGGACATCTCCACTGCCTCCAACCGCCTCCTCGCTGCAGCATTCACAGCCCAAGCTTCACACTCATATAAGAGTGTTGGTACTACTATACTTTCATACATTCCCTTCTTTGCCTCCATAATGTTTTTTGTCTCCATATATACCTCAATGCACCACTTACCTTTTTTCCCTCATCAATTCTATGATTAACCTCATCCTTCATAAATCCATCCGCCAACACGTCAACTCCCAAGTATATATCTGAAAACATTCACTTCTTCCATACTCCTCCTCCCCAATTTGATATCCAATTTTTCTTTATCTAAATCATTTGATACCCTCATCACCTTACTCTTTTCTATGTTCACTTTCAACTTTCTACCTTTACACGCACTCCCAGACTCATCCACTAACCTTCGCAATTTTTCTTTAGAATCTCCCATAAGCACAGTATCATCAGCAAAAATCAACTGTGTCAATTCCCATTTTGTATTTGATTCCCCATAATTTAATCCCACCCCTCTCCCGAACACCCAAGCATTTACTTCTTTTACAACCCCATCTATGAATATATTAAACAACCATGGTGACATTACATATCCCTGTCTAAGACCCACTTTTACCGGGAAGTAATCTCCCTCTCTTCTACACACCCTAACCTGAGCCTCACTATCCTTATAAAAAATCTTTACAGCATTTAGTAACTTACCACCTATTTCATATACATACTTGCAACATCTGTCACATTGCTCCCCTATCCACTATCATATGCCTTTTCTAAATCCATAAATGCAATAAAAACTTCCCTACCTTTATCTAAATACTGTTCACATATATGCTTCAATGTAAACACTTGATCTACACATCCCCTACCTACTCTAAAACCTCCTTGCTCATCCACAATCCTGCATTCTGTCTAACCTCTAATTCTTTCAATTATAACCCTACCGTACACTTTTCCTGGTATACTCAGTAAACTTATTCCTCTATAATTTTTACAATCTCTTTTGTCCCCCCTTCCCTTTATATAAAGGGACTATACATGCTCTCTGCCAATCTCTAGGTACCTTCCCCTCTTTCATACATTTATTAAACAAAAATACCAACCACTCCAACACTATATCCCCCCCTGCTTTTAACATTTCTGTCATGATCCCGTCAGTTCCAGCTGCTTTACCCCCTTTCATTCTATGTAATGCCTAACTCACCTCCCCCACACTCACATCCTGTTCTTCTTAACTCCTAAAAGATGGTATACCTCCCTGTCCAGTGCATGAAATTACTGCCTCCATTTCTTCAGCGACATTTAAAAGTTCTTCAAAATATTCTCGCCATCTAACCAAAACTTCCCTCTCCCCATCTACTAACTCCCCTACTCTGTTTTTAACTGACAAATCCATTTGTTCCCTAGGCTTTCTTAACTTGTTTAGCTCACTCCAAAATTTTTTCTTATTTTCATTAAAATTTCTTGACAGTGCTTCTCCCACTCTATCATCTGCTCTCCTTTTGCACTCTCTCACCACTCTCTTCACCTTTCTTTTACTCTCCATATACTCTACTCTTCTTATAACACTTCTGCTTTGTAAAAACCTCTCATAAGCTAACTTTTTCTCTTTTATCACAACCTTTACATCATCATTCCACCAATCACTCCTCTTTCCTCCTGCACCCACCCTCTTATAACCACAAACTTCTAACCACATTCTAATAATGTATTTTTAAAACTATTTCAACTCTCTTCAAACCCCCCACTGATATTAACAATTATTCAGTTCCTGATTAACAATTATTCACTTCCTGATATTAACAATTAAACAGTTCCAGAAGAATTCAAATTAACTAATATTACTGTCACAAGGGCCACGGTTATCAAGGAGATAGATAAACTGAAACAAAATATGTCCTTGGGACCCGAAGAGTTGTTTTCCAGGGAACTTAAAGAATGCAAGATGGAACTTAGTCAGCCATTAACGAGCATGTTTAATTCGTCCAGCCTAACTGGTGCTGTGCCAGAGATGTGGAAGATAGCTAATGTAGTTCCTATATTCAAATCAGGGGATAAGTCCATTCCATCAAATTACTGTCCAATAAGCCTGATGCCTATAGTAGGCAAATTATTAGAATTGGTTATAGCTAATATTATTAGAAGTCACCTTGAAGAGCATAATTTGATTAATGAATCTCAGCATGGGTTCACGAGAGGTTGCTCCTGCCTGACAAATTTACTGATGTTCTTCAATAAGACATTTGAGGCAGTAGACAGTGATAAAGAATATGATACTGCTTATTTGGATTTCAGTAAAGCCTTCGACAGAGTACCTCACAAGACTTAAGAAAAGTGGCAGCTCATGGTATAAGAGGTAGAGTTCTAGCATGGATAGAGGCATGGCTTACCAATAGAAAACAGAGAGAATTCATTAATGGAGTCAAATCTGAATGGGAATTAGTCACTAGTGGTATTCCACAAGGATCAGTTTAAGGCCCATTGTTGCTCATAATTTACATTAATGACTTTGATGAAGAAATTACAAGTGGCATGAGCAAATTTGCTGATGATTCAAAAATAGGGCGTATGATTCATTCTGAGGAGGATACCAGTGAACTCCAGGAGGATTTGGACAAATTAATGTCTTCGTCTGAAAAGTGGCAACAGTAGTCCTATGTGGACAAGTGTAAAGTCCTAATCCTTGGGAAAGAAAATAACCACTGAAGTTATAAACCAGGTGAAGTAGAGCTTGATCATACAGAATGTGAAGAAGACTTGGGAGTCATAGTAAGCAGAAATCTAAAACCAAGACAACAGTGCCGAAGCGTGCACAATGAGGCTAACAGACTGCTAGGATTTATTTCAACAAGTAGAAGTAACAGAAGTCCAAAAGTTATTTTACAGTTCTATACATTACTAGTGAGGCCTAATTTGGATTATGCTGCTCAGTTTTGGTCTCCTTACTACAGGATGGATATAGATTCATTGGAGAACATACAGAGAAGAATGACTAAAATGATTAACTGTATAAGGAATCTCCCATATGAAGACAGACACAGAGCCTTGAATCTTCGCTCTCTGGAGAGACATAGAATGAGGGGAGATATCACTTAAGTGTATAAGTGGATGATGGGATAAACATAGGTGGTATTAATAAAACACTGAGAATACTGAACCAAGTAAGAACCAGAAGTAACGGATTGAAGTTATTCTTGGGTAGCTTTTGGTAGTGGTGGTTTTGATAAGGACCTGTCGTGTATGGGCCAGTAAGCCTTCTGCAGTGTTCCTCCATTCTTACGTTATGTTTAACTCAGTAATTAAGTGAGAAGTGGCTATAATTTATACAGGTGAAAAGATTGCTAGCCCC